ATAATTCAATTTTCCAACCAATCTTCTATACTTGCTCAGGATCGGATATAGGCTCCCCCGATTTGGTAGAAGTTTAGTATTGGGATCCATGGGTGTATCAACAAACTTTGAACTCATCAACCCAGTTTCCTCCAAAATATCTATGGCATACTTCCTCCGAGATATAACAATACCATCATTGGACTGTGCCACTTCAATACCCAAGAAATATCTAAGTTTGCCAAGATCTTTGGTCCGAAAATGGTGACAGAGATGTTGTTTCAACTGAGAGATGTCATGGTTGTCACTACCTGTAAGAACAATGTCATCAACATATACTATCAAGTAAACACATCCAACACTCGAGTGTCGATAAAAGACAGAATGATCTGATTCACACCGAGTCATACCAAATTGTTGAACAACCTTGCTAAACTTTCCAAACCAAGCCCTAGGAGACTGTTTTAGGCCATATAGGGATTTGCGAAGATGACATACCATCCCAGAAGACTCCCCCTGAGCAACAAACCCAGGAGGTTGCTCCATATATATTTCTTCTTGTAAATCACCATTGAGGAAAGCATTTTTAACATCCAGTTGATAAAGAGGTCATTGTTGAAGAGCAGCCATAGCGATAAATAAACGAACAGAAGTCATCTTTGCCACAGGGGAAAAGGTATCTCCATAATCCAACCCAAAAATTTGAGTATAACCTTTGGCCACAAGGCGAGCTTTGAGGCGATCAATAGTACCATCAGGTCCAACTTTGATAGCAAACACCCACCTGCAACCAACAACAGATTTTCCAGACGGTAACGGGACCAATTCCCAAGTTCCACTATTATGAAGAGCACTTAGTTCATCTAACATGGCACTGTCGCCAACCAGGATGGGCTAAAGCTTCACTGGACGCTTTTGGAATGGTCACGGAAGAAATAGAGGAAAGACATGTATAAAAAGGTAATGACAATCGATGATAACTCAAAGCAATATAATGGGGAGAGGGATTACGTGTAGAACGAATACCTTTTTGGAGGGCAATGGGAAGGTCGGACTCATGTGTCGGATCCGGAGGAGACAGAGTAGTTGGCACTTGAGTAGAGTCACATGGTGGTGGTTGTGATTGGTTTCGAGAACTATAAATCCGAAGAGGCGAGTGGAGAAGAAGGCGATCTGCGGAGCGAGAACTAATGGTGAAGAAGACACAGTTAGAGGGTCACAAACAACAGGAACATTAAATGTATTAGGAGTGTTGACAAGATTGGATGGAGACAGAGGTGAAGTTTGACTTTTAAAATAAAGAGACAACTCATCAAAGGTGACATCTTTTGACACAAAATAACGGTTAAGAGAAGGAGAAAAACATTTGTATCCTTTTTGTGATCTTGTAAACCCTAAGAAAACACATTTATGTGATCTAGGAGAAAGTTTGTCCAGACCAGAACTGAAATTATGAACAAAACATGTAGACCCGAAAACTTTTAGAGGTAAAGGATGAAGTGGTTCATGAGGGAATAAAATGGAATGAGGTATTTTATTATCTAAAACCGAAGAATGCATGCGATTAATGAGATAACATGCAGTAAGAAGAGCATCACCCCAAAAATGTTGAGGAACATCTCCATGAATTAAAAGTGTGAGAGTTGTTTCAATAAGATGTCTATTTTTACGTTCAGCTACACCATTTTGTTGAGGTGTATAAGCACAAGAAGTTTGATGCAAAATACCGTGAGAAGCCATGAATTGTTTAAAAGAATGAGAAAGATATTCACGGTCATTATCACTACGCAAAACTCTAATAGAAACACCGAACCGAGTTTGAATTTCATTAAAAAAAGTTTGAAAGATATGAAATAATTCGAACGATTTTTCATCAAAAATAACCAAGTGCATCCGGAATAATCATCAATGAAAGTAACAAAGTATTGAAAACCTAAAATAGACTTAACGCGGCTAGGTCCCCAAATGTCGAGTGAACCACGGCAAAAGGGGACGAAGCACCACGTGTGAAACTACGAGGAAAGGAAGTACGACTATGCTTGCCTAATTGACATGACTCACACGCCAAACTAGATAAGTTGGACAAGGCGGGGACAAGTTTACGTAACTTGGCAAGACTTGGATGACCTAACCGAGCATGAAGAAGAGAGGGAGACTTCATAACCGTACTAACATGTGTAGAGGGACGGAGATAATAAAGACCATGAGACTCACATCCTGTGCCAATCACTCGTTTCGAACTCCGGTCCCGTAAACACACGGAATTGTTGGTAAAAGTAACAACACAATCAAGAGAACGAGTTAGACGACCGATGGACAACGAGGTTAAAAGGAGACTCGGGGACATAAAGAACATTATCAATGGTTAAAGAAGGAAAAAGTTTAACCGTTCTAACACCATGAGATGATACTCTAGAGCCATCAGTCGGTGTAACAGAAGGTAAATGATTAGGAGAGGATAAAGAGGAGAACAAAGATTTGTTACCGGTAATATGATCGGTAGCTCCTGAATCAAAAACCCAAGGACCAGGAGAAAATGATTGGGTCGGACCAACGAAAATATGTATTTGTATGTGTGACGAGATATAGTGGAACTAGAAGACTGTTGATCCTTATACCATTCGAGAAATTTGTTGAACATAGCAGACATGTCGGATGCAACAGAAGAAGGAAGATCCCCTGCAGATAAAGGTGGGAAAAGATTTGTCTGAACAACTACAGCAGACTGAGGAGGACGACCATGTAATGTATAACACTTGTTAATCTTGTGACCTAGCTTGCCACAATGTTCACACTTAGGACGCCCTTTTTCCTGTTTGCGAGGGCGAACCCAGTCATCACGATGGGATGTCAACACAAAAGAATCGTTAACAAAATTGGAAATAGTGGAAGAAGTCATGAAGAGCGGGAGAACAAACCCTAAAACAATCCAAAGTAATCCAATTAACCCACGAAGCACAAATCCAAAATGAGAATACTAAAAATAAGTTCACCAAGACTAAACGGTGCAGGAGACAATGGGACGACCAACTCCGATAGTGGTGATCTCAATGGCACGGTGGTCACTGACCGAGACAAGCAAAATCATATGTCACCGGTAAAAAAAATTGAAACTCCGACGAATTCTCCGACAGTGGCGGACCCGGTGGCTCGCTCCAGCGCAGCGGTGACGATGAACGTGAACTAGTACACCGGGTAAGTTCCCGGGAAAGAGAGGTGGGTCACTAATGGACACACTTAAATATCAAGTCTTTCCTTGCGGAACTTTCCTAAACATGCACTTTCACACTACCAAATAAAATTCAATGACAAAGATAATTCTTTTCGATGTGGAGGATCGGTTTACCAGCGACGGTGGGGCGGCTCTAGCGACGGTGGGGCGGCTCCAACAAGTGGACAAAAGGCGGAAAAAAAAAATTCAAGATAACCTTAAACTCTAGATACCATGTTGAATATAGAGAAAATAGGATTTGGAATTAATTTCCCGGAATTAATTTCCCTTGTGTATAAATCACACATAGGGTGGTCTATTTATAGTAGAGAGATACAACTAAAAGAGTAACTGAAAGTAACAGAATAAACAGAAGATATTGTTTGATATTGTGGTTACTAATATCTAACAATATCTTAACAATATCAAATAATATATAAACAATATCTAACAATAATAATTAAACATTAGCTTTTAAAAAATAATTAAAATACATATTATTACACATTGCATGTGTTATAATAAATGGAGAAATGTAAAAATATCAATTAATATAATAATTATGATTCTAATTTATAATAAAAATATCATTTATTATAATTTAGTTGTTCATTGTATTCACAAAAGAATAATAATAAAATATCACTCATCAATATAAGTTGTAATATATATACATTAATAAAACTTTAAGTAATGATTATATTTTTAACCACGATATTAGTAAATACCATAAATGCATATATATAATATTTTCCTCTGTCAGCCAGCTGTATCAATCAATGGTCAAATTATTAATATTTAAAATTACTTTCTTGATTTCTACAGAAAGATTAAAATACATCTTATAAACCAAATAACTATATCCTGATTTTTAACAGTCCTAAAGTTGTAAAATCAGTAAATATTTTATAACTGGATGAACATTTGATACCAATGAATGCAGACCGAGGACAACATTAACTACCCACAGAGGCATGTAACATTCAAGGATTGAATTCATAATGACAATAGCATGGTCGAATAAAGCACCAATGGTTTAAAACTCCATGCCTTAACGAATGCAATGAGTCTTCAGTTTCTACTTGCCAAGATTCTGAAGGTAAATTGCTGAAAATAGCCTTAAGCCGAACAATGTGGTATCGACTCACTGGGTTATTTCTACAGCCTGCGATTCTATCACTTGACGCCAAAAGCAGGGTCATTTTCTGCTCTGCTAAACATTGCGCAACTGGGGTATCTATTTAAAATTAAAAAATCTACACATTTTTTCAAAAATCTAATTGGACAATTGTCTGTTTAAACTGAGGTATCATATTGAATTTGCTTCTTCTACTTTGGGCTCGTTAGTGTGCATTTCAATACAAAATGTTAGTATTAAACTGTATTTAAAATCCTTAATCTTAGTTACACTACACAGCAAGACACAACACCGACTGCTCCAGTATTGTTGTTGCTTGGCAGTGATGTTTCACAGCAACTATCCCAACAAATTGTATGCAAAAAATAAAACTTAGAATTTGTCCCCTCAGAGCCCGAAGTACCTATATGTATATATTTTTGAAAATGCACATCAACCCATAATCCCCAAGTTGATTAATGTCATGAAATAACAGAGATCATCACAGGCATTGCAGCAAAACTTGAATACTTTTAGAAAAACAGTTCAAAAACATATCTCGGGCTTTACCTCAAACAAGCAACAAGGACGGGAAAAACTATAACAGTCAGAGCATGACAAAATTCTAAAATGTCTACATCACAAATAAAAAACTGAGCACAAGATCTAATAAGATCACTAGCCATTAGTAATCTAATCTTCATCCTCCTCATCTCCATCTCCACCAGCAGCCTTCTTAGCAGCAGCCCTTTGGTTCTTTCTCTTAACGCGTCCAGGACGACCACCACCAAGTGGACTCGTGAGCGAGAAGTCAATGTGCTTCTGGGAATCAACCCTAACCATGAACGATGGAATGTTCACCACCTGTCTTCCAACCCTGCCAAATCCCAAACAGCATTAAAATCAATCACCAAAACCAAGCGACCATTAAAAAACAACAAATGAAATATATTAATATTACAAACAACACATAATGTATTCAACGAAATCGATGCAAGTATCAGGAAATGATCGATGATACAGCAATTCATAACTACATTAGTCCTAAACGACACAATTCAGAGTGAAAATAAATGACATTGCATAGCATCTAAAATGGACAAATAAAAGATTATGGTTGGATGATTATTGTGAGAAATGGAGGACCTGATGTGCCTCTGCCTGATGAGGACTCTAGCGTGGTGAATGGACTTGGCCATGCCAGACTTGAAGACGAGGGTCTGGAGGCGGCGTTCAAGAAAGTTCTCTACGGTGAGGGCCAACACGTAATCGAGCTTGTTCTGGGTCTCGTCGAGAAGTCCATAACGGAACATTCTTCGAAGAAGTGCTTCACCCTCGAAGATTCGGCGCGGGTTCTTCTCATCCAGTGTCAACAGATTCCTGGCGTTGTTACGGATACGGCTGAGGGCGTATTGAACCCTCCACAACTCCCTCTTGCAGCGAAGCCCGTACTCCCCAACCAGCTTCAACTCGGCGTCCAAGCGCTCCTTCTCGTATGGACGACGAGGCTTCTTGAACGTTTTCCCATCTATTCAATCACAAACAAGCAAACAACCCATTAAATTCTGTTGGAAATTATGCTTTATTCTCGGGTAAATGAAATTAAAGTGAATGAATTTTAGATAAACGAATGTATTGAATATAGAAAGTTAGAGGCATTGAGTACAGTGCAGAGTACTTACAATTTCGGTAAAAGGAAACGTGCACCATGGCTCTTCCCTGCCTGCTTCTCAACCCTTACGGTGCACTAGGTTTTCGCAGCTGAGCTTCAAAATATGTTTCTTTCTCCCTTTTATCTGATCTCAAAACCCTAGTTCTTGGTAGGCCGGAGTTTTCAATTTCAGGCCCACTCCACGACCCATCTTGGCAAAACACAAAAGAGGCCCATCTTGGGTCTGCCAGCCCATTCGCAAGAAGATAATGATAAGGATGTTTTTTGGTTTTGGAAAACGCCCATGTGTTTTAAAGTTAACACACATAGATTCTACTAAATATTAACAACCATACTGGTTATAGCTGGTATATGTGAGAAAAAACAGGACAATTCAGTTTATACTATAATAATAACGATAAAAAAAATTAAATTATAAAGTGGCTGTGAACCAATTTTTAACCCATTCACAATTAGTTGTAATAATATAGTAATATATTATTATTATTATTATTATTATTATTATTATTATTATTATTATTATTATTATTAAAACCAGTATAAACTAACTATATGTAATCAACCTATATTTTTTTTCTACTAATCCACTTTCTTTGTTCCTACTCTTTTCATAAAAATAAAAAACAAAATAGTTTACCTAAAGAAGTTATAATCACGATCACTACAAAGTCATTTTACACTTTCATAAAATATAATAAAATTATTATCTTTTATAATAATTATCTTAAAGTTTATTAATATAAAATTTTATTATTCAATAATATAAATTATTTTTTTAAAATCAATAAATTTTCAATTCAATCATTATGGCAAAAAAATACTACTAATGATAATAAAAAAATCAATAAACTACAATTTATTTAACCATTAAAAGAAATATCAACTTATTTGATACATGATTGAGAATATACTTATATTATTAAATATTTAATTAGATATTCAATAATAGATCATGTGCTTGGAAAAAAATATTAAAAGAGTAGGTTTCTTATGTTAGTATCGCTAGCAGATAAATGTTTGTGTGTTGTACAAAAACTAAGAGAGGTGAATTAGTTTCTTATAAAAACTTTTTCCTTTTAAAACTTTTCACAAGATTTTACCTATTAAACAACAATTGAAAGGTAAAGAGATAAAAGAAAGAAGATTACACAATTGATTTATATTGATTCAGATCAAAAGACCATACGTCTAATTGTTTCAAACCAACAACAGATTATAAAAGATAAGGATAAGAAAACACCTCTCTTGAAGCACACAAGAGATGAACACCTCATTTGAATCCAAATGATGAAGACAGTTTTTCCTAAAGACGATACAACACATCATCAACCAAGAAACTCACTTAGTGATTCTTATCGCTTCTAGCCCACACTAGATTACAAAAATCCATTTTTCTTCCCTACTCAAAGTACTCTCAACAATCACAACTATAAACTTTAGTATGAAAAAGGTTATTTTTTACAGAGTACCCCAAGAGTTCCTTAAATAGAGATTTTAGGGTTTAGAAATTAGGATTTTCGAAATTAGGTCTAAAATTTGAAATTCAAAATCATAACTACACACAAATAATTGATTATCATAAGTGATAATCGATTATTGCAGAGCCAATTTTACAGATTACACAACTTAACCAGGATAATTGATTATGAACAGTGATAATTGATTATTCAAGAGACCTAGGAAAGCTAGGACAATCGATTATCACTAGTAATAATCGATTATCAAAAATCGATTACGGGTGATAATCAATTACTACAATAAGTTTTGGATAAAAACGAACTTTCAATGAACAGATTGTGTGCTGACTATCTTAGACTCTATTTTTCCAGATTCAAAATGATAAAATAGGGTTATTACAAGTAGATACAACTATATATAGTCTTCTAATCTTGAAGTTTATTGTTTCTAAAATATCATCAAAATCTTCACACATTATATCTTTGTATTTTCAACATGTTGAAAAAATTAAAGTTTGAATAATCTTTGCAATGTATTATTTTTAGTTAATTTTTAAATGTTAGTAAATAAATGAAAAAATAATTTATAAAATAATTTTTTATATTTATCTTATATTTTAAATAAAGTTTATATATTTCTCTGTATATTAAAATGTAATTTAATCTCTCGCTGTATATATGACATAAACAACTAAAATACTTTCAAATATAAACTTCATGAATAAAAAGGTGCTTGCATAAAAGTTTATTGTAAATACTCTATTTTAATTTTTAAAATTTAAAACTAAATTAAAATGTAGTAAATGATTAAATTAATCAGTTTAGATAATGTTTCTTTTAGTACTTACTTGCTCAAACTTCCATTTGTCCTACTGATTTTGTCCTCCTGGTGCTTATTGTGTAATGTAATGTACATTAATTTTATTACAAACTTAATGAATTAATTTTTCGATATATAACTTTTTTCATCTTGAGAAATTAATATTAAATTAATAATTATGCTTAGTATATATTGAAAGATTGATATTTAACTTCATATCTCAATATTAATTATTAAATTAGTTTAGTATAAAACATATAATTTTAATTTAACTATTGTATTTGTATAAAAAGGTTTTCACTTTTTAAGAAATTTAAATATATTAAACTTAAATTATTATCTTTTTTCAGGTTAATATTTAATTTCATATATGAATATTAATTATTAAGTAATTTAATATACAAATATTAAAAATTTGAAAATGATTATAATTGAATTATATTACAGTTTAATATATAATTTTATAAAATTTAATAACTTAAAATATATTAAATTTAAATTGCTCTTACTACAAATTTTTTGTTCTTTTATAAATATTTTTTTATATAATTTAAATTTATTGATTTTTATTATTTTTTATAAGATATTTCAATTAACATTCATTAAAAAACTAAAAAATATAAAAAATATTATCACTAACTTGTTAATTTGGTCATTCTCATAGGATTGACCATTTACATAAAGATAGGTTGGTTTAATAAAAGATAGATTAGCTTAATCAAACTTGTCTGAATTTAACTAATTAAGGAGAGATTGAATAAACCATGTTATTAAAGATTTATTAATTTAAATTAAACTATATTAAAATAATATTAGGCTTGATTAAATAAAAATGTAATTATTCAAAGCGATTTAGGTTTATTTAAAAGTTGAGTTCATCAAGACCAATAACATTATTTTTAAGTTTATCTCAATTTTATGTTAGATCGACAAATTAATATTTTTTTAATTCATTTTAAAAATTAAACAATTAAAAGATATCTAAAAGGTTTATCTTTTTAAATTAAAAAATTATATATATATATATATATATATATATTTGATTATTTAAGTTATTATATTAATTTAATTTATTTTAAAAAATTATATAATATTTTGATATATATATATATATTTATAAAAATATAATTATTATTTTGTTAATCGATTTGATTTATGAGTTTATTAATCATTCAACCTAAATTCATTTAATTCATAAAAAATATCCAATTAATTTTAGATGAATTTTTTTATTTAATTTAAATAATTAAATTTTTTATTTATAATTTTATAAATAGGGACTAAGTTGAAGACACAAAAATATTAAAAAAATTAGATAAAATTTAAAATTATATAATTTTAAGTGATTAATTAATTATTATAGTTTCTTAAACTTTTAATTTCTTCCTGATTTCTCTCTCCATATCACATATTAAATATTTACCATGATCTTTATCCCAAAAATATTTGCTCATTTAAAGTCATTGTCAAAATATTTACCAAGAAGATATTTATTTACAGTGTTAATTTATAATTCAGTTGCCAAAAACCAAATTCTATCAACAAAATTATTAATATAATGGAAAATTTAGTTTGAAATTTAATTTTCATAAAACTGAATTCTAAAAGTATATTATATACGTATTTTGATTTTGATTTTTTTTCAACATATATGTATTTTTAATTTTTAAATATTATATATGTGTCAGTTACTTTATAAGTAAATAATACGTAAATTATAACATTATTTTTTAAATAGTGTTAATAATGTAAATTTACAATTAATTTAAATGTTAAATGTTAATGGTCAAAACATTCAATATAGTGATAGTATTATTTTTACGAATAATAATAATTTTTTTAATCATTTTAATTTATGTTAACATTAAATTATGAAGAAAAAATTGAAATATAGGATTTGAATTAAAAAGACTGATTTTAGATATTAAAGTAATATTTTTTCTTAAGAATGGATTTGGTAATATTTTCCAAATCCCACGTGGCATTATCTGTTTTCAAGTTTTTCTCTCTCTTTCTCCTGAGTTCCAAAATAAATATCGAATCTTAGTTGAAACCCACTTCAGATTTTGTGGCCCCACACCCACTCACTGTCTTCTTCCCTTCCTTTAAAAACACTCACATTTCCTTCTTCTTCTTACAGTCCCATTTCTCTCTCTGGTTTCGTGGTAATGGCGTCGAGTATAGGCATGATGGATAGTGTGTACTTTGTGGGTAGTAACCAGATTCTGACTTGGATGAACAACAGGCTCCACCTCAATCTCTCCCGCATTGAGGAGGTAACCCGTGCACCCCCTTTCCCATGTTCTTGCTAAACTCGTACCTTACAATGTGCTTCTGTACACTGCTGCAAGTGCAACACATGATATCCATTTCAGACGAATTTCAGGACAGTTATGACTTGCAAGAAGAATGTAGATAGTTAAAGTGCAGCATTCTAGCGTAACATCCCTGTATATATATTATTTTTTTATCTCTTTTAAAAAGTATTGTGTTTCGGGGCCAAAGCTGAACAGTTTTTGCTAAAGCAACTATATGAATGTTTATTCTTTTACGTAGGCTGATTCTGGGGCTGTACAATGCCAGATAATGGATATGACATTTCCGGGGGTAGTTCCAATGCACAAGGTGGCGAAGTTACTTTGATTTAACTTGTTTTTCTGAGCTGGTTTGAATTCTGATATGAAGGGCAATTTTCTTAATGTGAGTTTATTTGTAGGTGAACTTCGATGCAAAGTCTGAATATGATATGATCCATAATTACAAAATTCTACAGGATGTGTTCAACAAGCTGAAAATTGACGAGGTATGTATTCTCACATGATTAGGTTAATTAGTGGGATACTTGGAATTGAAGGATGGTCTTGTTTTACTGAGGATGCAATTTCTAGTTGTTAACTGTGTTTTATCTCCTGTTTCGTGTAGATTACTATTGATCTCAATCTGCTGTGGATCTCCTGGAAAAAGCAAGAGACTTTTACTTTGCAAAACTACTGGATATAGAAATTCTGTCAGACTCCACAATAAAGGCTTGCTTGCGTTGACGTTTATTCTTATTCACAATCACAAATGAATGAAGGTCATTTCGTTTTCCAGCATGCTTGTCGTCCTATCTAATTTTTAGACTCTCGATTTGAATATCATCTCCTATTCTCGTGATTTAGCCTATTTTCTTTGAATTTCCTAGTGCCTTTAAGATTACCGGAATGGGGGAATAGAAATCAAACAAGTTTTTAGTAAATTAAATTATACTTTCGGACCGAACATATATACTATGGAAATTTTTATATAGATGATGGATCGGTCTTAAATGGACAGAAATTATATATGATGTAATAGATTGTGTACTAAAAGAATATACCAAGTCTTTTTACCACTTCCATTCCCCCCAATAGTTCATTTAAAAACACATGTATGCGGGTATCCGAATACAATTTGTCTGCATTCCAGGTTTGTTAAAACGAATCCTTCTTGTAGAGGGAGAATCAAAATGCCAAATTAATGGTCCAGTCCTCACTCCCTCGATTTCCATCTATCATTTTAGTCTATCATTAATTGTAAGAAAACATAATATACGAAAATAAATAAAGTAAAAAATATATTTAATATAATATCATTAAAAGATTAATATTTCTAAAAATTATAAATACGTCAAAAATTCATCATTCCTAAATTTAATAAATAGAATTTATATGATTATACAATTTCAAAATTACAGTTTTGTAAAGGAAGACAAGGAAATTTTTTAAAAATACCACTTTTTCTTTTTACTCTCCATTTTCTACTCATTAAAAAACAAAACACGTAAAATCAGTGAAAAATAACATTTATTTACTATTTTCTTATTTATTTCCTACTGCATCGGATAAATACTTTCATTTTATTCATTTCTTTTATTTAACACCTTTCCACTTTCCAATGTTACCTTCAAAGGAAGGACCCTTAGTTTATAGTTCATGCAGGTAGAGTTTCCTTTCATTGCCTTGTCTATAGAAATTCACTTCTAGTCTGGCGAATTGGTGACTATAACAAAAGATTTACAAGAAGATGTTTAAGCAATGAGATCTATAGGGGATTCTTGCATTCCTATATAAGAAGAGTGTGGCTTTGGTGATATCACGAAAGAACAAAAATCACCGTCTTTCTGTTGTTAAACTAACACTATATATACCATGCATGTCATAGCCATTATACAAAATAGAGATGACTAATCCCAGGCCAGCTACAGGATAATGAAAACACAACAAAGGGTTGAAAAAAAAGTAAAGTACCTCCACAGAGAGGGAAAAACAAAGTATCAATAACATGTACATCCATCATCTTATCCACCAAAAACAGAGATTACATGATTGGACTCAATAAGTCTCATCATACGCTGTATAATAACCGCCACCCCTTCTGGATTTATCAGCCTGCAAAGCGATGGCACCGTTAGCACAATCCGGATACAAAAGACAACACACCAAAATTACTCAACTGGGTTCTATAGATGGACATACCCTATTGATCAGATTCTCAAATGCATCTGTTCCATTCTCTTGGATGTACTTCTCTGCAGCAGTTAGAATATCATCTCGCTTAGCAAAGGTGTCCTTTTTCCTTGGAACGTACCAGATGTTAATGGTTTTTGGATTGACATAAAAAGGTCTCACATAATGCTCATAAACATAAGCAGCACCGCTAAAGTACGGAAGGACCAACCAGCAGGTCGCAATCAGCTTTGCATAAGGCCATATTGGAATCCTGAAATATATATATATATATATATATATATATATATATATATATATATATATATATATATATATATATGTTGTGGAAATTCAGCCAAAAGTTAAATAGATCACCCTGCACCCTTCTAAATATATTTGTCACAACTAAATCATTCAAAAGCTTGATATAACACATAAAATACATTACTGTAATTCAACATTTGCTAGTTACATTACGAAGAATATTCGCATTGAAACCTTTTCCAGTGTCTTCCACTATAGCTCATTCATTGCATTCAAGCTTATGTACTTAATAATTTAGCAGCTGCTTTTTCTATCTTACCTTCACCATAAATAACATCCAAATTAATCATCAAAAGGACTAAGAATTCATGAATACCCCAAATTGACTGGTGTCTAAAGTCAGACTTACCCCCTAAAAACTAGTAATATATTTTAAGTAACTACATTTTTCTTAAGTAAACCCAACAAGTTTATCATCGCATTTACAGAGTACTCATCAACCTTCCAAAATAATAAACACAAACAAGAAATATCATAAAAGAAATAAAAAAAAAAGTGCCGCATACCATTCAAGGAGTTTAGCAAAGGTAAGTTCAAAAAGGGTGATTAAGGAATAGAGAACCCAGTAAGTGAGCCATTGCTGATCATCAACAGGAGACTTGCTCTCAATTGCCCTAATTGAAGCATATCTGCATTACAATTCAAAACCCACACCAACCATGAATCACTCTGTCAATGGAATAAATGCAAACGGAACATTCAACAAAAAAGTATCCTGAATGTAAGGAAAAGATGGAGATTTTAAGATTGCACTTACAGAGGATAAACAAGACTAATCACAGGCCTGCAATAGAAACAAAAAAAGACAATGTTATATGCCAGTCTAAAAGAAAAAGAAAGCACATTTGAGAGAAGGAAGAAAAGAAACAGACCCAGCAAGGACATCGAAGTTTCTGAGAAGCACCTTGAGGAAATTACCCGCCCCAGATCCCATTTTGATGTCTCGAGTGAGTGCTTCTCTTAGGGGCTTAACTTGTTTGAGGGCTTCTTCGATCACTTCTATGTTCTCACTCAAAACCGAAAGATGAAAAAGAAAAAGAGTGTGTGAAGTTCGCAATTTGGCTCTGTGGGTTGCGTGTGCGAGAAAAAAATCAGACAGATGCCAGAAAAAGCAGGTGCTAGCGGTGGTGAAAATAACAAGGGAAGAAGAGAATCATTGAACAGCGTGGCTTTGCGGTGGGGAGGTGTTGCTCTATGTATCCGAGACTACAATAATACTATGTGCATCTCACCGTACATTAAGATTAGCGACCTCGATTTCATTCGTACTTGGGATCGATTGCAGGAACACCGTGGTCCTCTATGGCATTGAAACTTTCTCCCCTAATGCTTTTCTCAGCTTGGTTGGTTCACCAAATAAGCATTTGCGGATGCACCTTGGTGCTAAATAACTCTTAATTATATAATAAATAAAGAAACAACTCTCATTTCTTTAATTTAATTTAATAATGATATATTTATTCTTTTTCTCTATAAATAAATGCAATTATGTTAAATATGATTATTGCTGAAACTATTTAATTGAAATTATGACGTAAATTGAAAGTGAAGAAAAGAGAAAAAATTTGTTGACAATCAATATTTATAAACATCTATAGACAATCTTACATTATAATTTTTTTATTGATTGATAAGGAGAGAATAAAATAAAATAGATAAATAATAATATAAAAATCTAGTTGAATAATTTTTTTTTCTTTATCAGTCTATGGAGAAAAACGGCACTGGTTTCAGGTTTAGGTTTCCGTATATTACGAAATTGCCGCTATCGACATTGTCGTAACTAAACTACCGACTTTTTCTTTTCTTTTTTAGAACTTTACATTATATGTATGTATTCGTAAGCGATTCTGCTTAATGTAAGGTCTTATGTTGTTTGTGCTTATTTCAACGATGTTCGAATTGTAGCTAGTCATTTTGTGAGGTTCCTTCTGTTTCAAGAACATCTTCAGTTGTGTTCTTAAAAGAAAAGAGCTTCCTCTATTAGTAGTTTGCCAAAATGGAACAAGAGTGAAAAGTTTAAATTCAAGTAAGAAAAGGAGAAAGAATTTTAATTTGAGAAGATATACTGTGTTTCGTTATTTTTCCTCTCTTTCAATCATTGGACTAACTTTATGCTAAATTATTACATTTCTATTGAGAATTATCATAAATCAAAGATAAATTATACACAAAAGACATGCAAGACTTGAGGGGTAAGTCTTCGTAAACTAGATGAGTGAACTCCTTCATTGGATATGTTGCCCCTCCCTCTCTCTTGAAACAATATAAATATTGACAATACATTCATTGAATCGCTTTTTTAATTTAGATTTTTATCAAGTAATAATACTAGTAAATAACGAATAAGATTCATAATTTGGTCAATTTCACGCGTAATTGTGTTAATAAAAACGAGTACAAAAGTATATCGCATTTCTCATTCAACCATGATCCCATCCCACGAAAGTATAGATGAAAAGCAATAGCCAGTTTTTTCTATCCTTTAACACTAAAACAAAGAACAGATGATATAAACGAAATTTAAAATAGACGAGTCTATTCATCAGACATGGTCCCGAGGGAAAGCACCCCAAAAACATTTCTACAAGTAACTCGTGGCTTTCAGCCCTAAGAAAACAAAGCAAAGGAGAATGTAATACGAAACAGAAACGAGTGAGATTCTCTTGGATCATTGAATAAATATAATAATTTATACATGAAAGCTCCAGAGAGGCATTGCTATCAGGAAAACTAGTTCGCATGTTAAACCAATTCAGTTACTATAATAACTCTACAAATTCAATTGATGTTGGTTGCTACCCAAGCAGTTGTGATGGCCATGAATCTGCTGCTGTGGGGTACCTGGCATGCGGTTTACTGATAACGGATGTAGAATTTGGCGCGACTTCGGTAACATTAGAAGCTGGAAAAGAGGCTTGAAGATCAGGTGGAAAAGGGACAAGCAAAACTGCAGATCCTTGCTGCAAGTTAGGTTCCATGGTATGCAATTGGAGACTCTGTCCTGGAAAATTTGGCTGCTCCAGTGGCGCAAGTTCCAAATGAGGATGTACGTTCAGGTCAGGTTTAGATTGAGCCACTCTTGCGTTTATCTCACCTTGAAGTTTCTCAATTTGAGTTTCTAGGCTACAATTCTCCTCCTTCAGCTCATTTTTCTCCATGGTCACCTGCCCAATGAAGGCAATCACGTGAAATCTAAACAAATACAAGGATATAGTGTGACACTGACATCAACTTATCAATTTCCAAAATATGATGAAATACTAATTAGCTCAAGGAACTGGCCGAAAGATTACTTAAATATAAAGTATTTCATGTCATTATTTAAGACGCAGCACTCTCAAAATGGTAAAAATGAAGGAGGAAAAAGAGTGTCAATCTTACATAATGCGATTCAGACAACAGTGTGACGTTCTCTTTCTTGAGGGACTGGATCTGAGAGAGCAAGTCTTTTAGCAACCTAGCAGCTTCACACAATATAGAAGCCTTTCCATTGTTCTCATTTACATCTATCCCCACAAAAAATATCCAAAAAAGAAAGAAAGATAAAAAGCACTTAAAATCATGTTAAATACAACAAACCAAGGATGTAAGTTTGAACATATTCAAGATAAATAATGGTGGTGGCACAAGAGGTTACCAAGTGCATTGGCAAGGTCAAGAAAGAGTTCATTCAAATGTTCACGTTTCATTTTCTCCCTTTCAGCCTTGTGAATTTTCCTGGGGACTTTCCCTTGGTTCGTTTTACCAGAAGAAGACCTGAAGCAAAACAATTTACAAAAACTGAATCCAGATGAAGAACCTGTAATTCCACATAAAACTACTCATGCAAGAGATGAACTTTAAATTCCATATAAATACTCATGCAAGAGATGCGAGAATGTAGTGATATTAGTATTGTGCTCCAGTGTGGATAAACTCCTCAATATGTATTTATAAGAGAAGAAAATAAATAAGACAAATTAAGTTTCTTCCATAAGTTAAAATTAATTTATAGTTAAACAATTTTTTTTTGGAAAAACTAACTTAAAATTAACTACTATGTTATATAAGATAACTTAAAATTTTAGAAGAAACTTCATTTATATTACTTTTTTAATTTCTTTTCTTATAGTTATTATTTGAGAAGTTTATGACTATTGACATTACCAAGGCTACCACCAATGCTTTTTATCAATAGTTCTAGTCCAATCTAAATTTGTCCAAACAAGTACAGAGCCAGATAAAATTAAATAGCTATCAGCTACAGTTGAAACAGAGAAGAATGGATATGTTATATTCCCACTTGTATCAAATCAATACACAGACCATGTCAGAAAAATTCTCCATTTGAATTTGAACTCAAAAATTACAAAAAGGAATGACACTGTAAAAATACTGTCAGCACCTATCACATTCATAAGAAATCAGAAAAAACATGAACATGATATTCTTATTTCTCCAGTAATCACATCGAAATAACATTTCAGATTATCATTGTGTGTGACTACACGAAAACATTCGAATCTCTAACCTGTTTTTTGATGTCTCAACAGCAGGAGTCGCACTCTCTGATCCCATATGAACAAAGCCTTCCAGCAACAAAATTTCCTACAGTTGAAAAACAAAACTACTTCAATATTGCAAGGTTTCTCCCTTTATCAGGGCCAGAAGTAAATTAAAAACCTCAAAAAATTGTTTTTTCTTTTCACAGTCAATGACAAAGTAAAAACCGCGAATCAATTCCCTCTTTAGCAATCCAATAGGATAAAGAGTGAGAAAGATCGATAAGCCAAGTTCCTAATTTTAATTTCTGCACTTCATAGCAACCAAACAGAATATGGAGAACTTCTAAGGATAAAAATAACATTTAAAACAAAATTAAGAGAAGGATTGAAGATGTGGAGAAGAAAAAGTGCTTCTGTTTACCTAAATGCGGAGAAGGATTGGAAAATGAATAGATTCGGAATAGTGAAATTGAAGATTTGAAGGATGGAGTTGGAAGCAGAAATGAAAGAGTGGGAAGATGGGAATTAGGGCAGAAGAGGGAAAGAGGATTGGATTGTCGCGATGGAGTGTGGCGGGAGGGCACCTGTCACACGAAGGCGTGTGTTCTGGTCATGCTTATTCGCTGCAATCAACAACCATCAATGAGTTTCCCACGTGATTTTTTTTTTTTTTCTTTCAACTTTTTCTTTTTATTTAATTTTTATTTTTTTAATATATATATTTTTATATATCTAAAGTTACAAAATTCATAAAATAATTAAATATATAATATAATTATAATTTTTTATACACAAACATAATACTTTGTAAAAAAAAATAATCATAAAATTAATAAAATGAGTATTTTTTTAATTCTAATTAATAAACTTTTTAAATAAAAAGATAAAAACTAAATTTTATAAAAATATATATAATAAAAAAACATATTTAATCCAAATAAATTAATATTTCATAAATTTCGGGATATATTGTCTGCATGTCTTATTTTATTTTATTATTATTATTATTCTAATGCAGTCATAATGTGTTAAAAATTATTAAACAGCATATTTTTAGAAAAATATTATAAATGCTAAAATTATAAAATTTCATACTATATCGACAAACTTGAAAAGTTATCAGTGAAATTTTTATTTTATTTTATTGAATTTTATAAAATTAAACCTTTTGCAGTAGTTAATTTATTTATAATATGATACTCTTTATTTAAACATATACAAAGGACTTGGTTTTTGAGTGCATTGGCACAGTAGTTAATTGAACAAGTATTGAAGAGATCATAAGCCCAAAAAGACGAACACCAAATCCAAACAGAAGAGGGGCAGCTAAGTCTTTCAAGTTTTGCAATAAAACTAATAAACACCCTGGAGAAGGACCTTAGATACTCTGAAGCCCAAAAGGTTGAATCTGCTGATGGTTCATTCTCTATCGAAAACTTTACATGTGTTATGGTTGAAATTGTGAAAATTAGGATAGAAAAAAATAATAATTAAAATATAGAAATATAACGTAGTAGGTGAAGGTAAAACGAAAAGGTTAGACATTAAAAAAAATTAAAAAAATATGTTTTAATTTTTTTATTGAGAATAATTAATTAAGAGTGAAATTTAATTGTGTTTTGTTATTATACATATAGTCAATTTTGAAATCAATTTAAATCATAATTAATTATCAGATCCACACTCATTTTTTTATTATATTTTTAGTTATTTTATTTTTTCTCATTTTTTAATTATATTTTTCAGTCAAATATATGGTCAAGGTCTAATTATTTAAATATTAACCTTTTAAAAATTATTATTAATTTTTAAAATGATATACATTCTTTAAAAATACTTTTGATTATATAATAAAATTGTGGTTTGAGCTTTGTGCAGTGTTGGACAATTGTGAAAAAAGTGCTTTAAATTTTTATATTGGAAATAGAAGGTGTGTGACCTCCACAAGCGTGCATCAGATCAGACCAAAACGACACGGTTTTTCCCAGGTGTGTGCCAACAAACCTCTCGTGGGAACCACAGGATTATGTCACGTCATCTATTTCACTTCTACTATTTTTCAACTCAGCTTCTCATTTTTATCAAATAATATTAGTTTTTTTAGAAAAATAATAATCTAAATTTGATTCTTTCTATAATAGGAAAAGGTTGAAATGATCACATCTTTTTCTGTTGAAATAATCATATTTTGAACCATTCTGGAAATTTTAATCAAACTAAAAATATGACATCTCCATTGGTTCATAATTATGACCTCATCAATTGTTACTACCTGAATGCACGATAGGGTTAATGCTCAAAACAGTATCACTCAATTGTAATACAATTTTAAAATAGGAGATAATATCTATCTGCACCTAATTCAATATAATGTTAGTAACAAATTTACATAAATAATGAGAGAAGAAGATAAATATTAAATATGCATAATATTAGTAATGAATGACATAATTAGTAATGAAAAATGACAGAAGAAAATAACTAATAAAAAATATCGATGTCTTGTAATATAATAGAAAGAAGAAAATAGATGAAAGAAATAAAATAAAAGTAAGATGAAAGAAAAAATTGAATAAATAAAGATAATTAGGTAACAAGCTTGAGAAAATATTGTCGCTGTAACTCAGTGTGAAAAATTATAGCATCACACCAAAGAAAATATGGAAGATCAACAGAAACCCCAAAAACTAAACAAAGTGGTTTTACATGGCTGCATGGTTTAAGATTATCAAGTAGGGAAAATTACAGGATTAAAACATAGAAAGAACTATGTGTTATAACAACTAAGAATCCTAAAAAACAAAACAGAGTGGATATGACATCACAAATGGCGCTTACAAGTTGCTCTGCTGGTGCATGTGGAGGGAGTTCCTATGTCAGCGTCATGGTTTGTGTCTTTGTACCAGAGTTGACCTATAGATAAAAGAATTTAATTATTAGTCTAGGCTGGTGAATGTTGTCTGAAATTCTAACTCTGCTATTCATTTGAACTCTCTATATCTATTCATTGATGAATAGATTCTTATAAAAGTTGGTTAAGATGCTTTGAAAATAACCAACCAAGTATGAGACCAATGATGATCAACAGAAGAAAAGTTCACAAGTAACTACCAAAAGGTTATACCTGAAAACATGAAGGGCTAATTGAGCTTTGCTGCTTCGGTGTTTCCTTCTCAAGGTTAAAATAAAAAGGCCAAATTCTAGCATCAGTATACCCATGTAAAAAAAAATAAAACATACAATTAAAATGCTAAAAATATCTTAAACATTTGTTGTGAGTTAGAACTTTAGAAATCAGTGGCCAAAGAAAGCTATTTTTTTAATGTTGGTCCGGTTTAATTTTTTACTGGAAGCAGAACATGTCACAATCACTGGTTTACGTGTGTGCAAGAACCTGGGGAGAAAAAGGGAAGGAAGGTTAACCTGAAGGAAACAAAAGCCACAACCCACATGTGCAACTCATATTCTATAAGACATGTGTCAAGACAAGAGAAAGGAGACAAGGCACACGAGACCATAGAATAGATTATTGAAAATAGCCTGCTATACCCTCAATCTAGGCTTGAAGCACCACAGTAGAAATCAAAGTTACCCTTTCCTAATTTCAAGGTGCAGAGTGCGTGTGCATGTTTCTAGCCACAGCTTGCACATAAGATTCTTCATATTCTATCTGCAAAAGATGACGATGAATGATGGTTTAAGTCAGATCACTTCCAGGGAGATACGAAGACATTGTCTTCTTCGGTGGCAGAATCGGGTACAACATGAATGATGAGATTACAGGCTAGGGTTCTGAAGCCAGATTACTAATCATCACACTGAAACAAGGCCCTTTTGAAGGTTGAAGCTACTCAAAATGTTCAAACATAGAGATCAGTTAAAAAGTCCAAATGCTGTTGTAACTATAAATATGGATGATCCATGTATGGATTGAAAATATTTTGCAGCCTCCCTGCATCACGCAAACCATATAAAAAGATCAAAACCAAAGAAAACATGTTAAAAGATCTTATGATGATCATCATGCTTTATAAAGGTAAACTGGAAAAAATTAAAAGAGAAAAATGTCTGATATTAGGAAAGTTGTAGCATGTATGCACATTACTTACACTTATTCTTATGAAGGGAAAGTATCGATTAAAGAGTACATTTGTTTGTTATACAATATACAACAATAGGTAATTTCAACCATGAATTCAACAGCTAAATTAACTATGAGAATATAATCATAAATAAAACTCTAAAATATGTGACTAAATAGATAACTGGACCTTACTGTCAACATCTTTAGAGAAAAAAAAAAAAAAAGCGAGGAAGAAAGTACTCTAAGGATAAATTGATCCACCAAGCAATAAATGCATTGTTCTTCAGTACAATGTCATGCTATTAATAAGTGATGAGGGTATATGAACTCACATCATTTAGACCGAATCTGTTAAGGCAATTTATGCAATAATGTGGTTAAAAACTTCAAATCAGGACCTCTAGCAGAACTCATTATGAAAATGTCCTGGTCGACTCTTTCAAATTCTCCCTTGGATCTTAATAGGATGTTCCCTACTTAAACCTCTCAAATGCCAGGATCAAGAATCAAAATTGAGGACCTTTCTTTTACACAGAAGTGCTGGACTTCATATTGAGTAAGTACGAGCCTAGGGGACAGAAAATTCTGACATTGACTTGTTTAATTTGCAGACTAAAACATCTAAAGACCTGCTTGTACTGACTAATAATCATCTTTAGGTAATTATTGTACATCATTGTCTTATTCTCAGTCCATCATCAATTGTATAATTTGTAGCTCCATCCTCAGTCTATTCAACCCAATTATATGATGCTTACACATCATTAGTCAATTCCCATTTCCTCCAATATAGCATATTAGGAGAATCATAGACTTTCCACAGCCTACATATAATTTTCATTTGTCTTCACAAAATACTGATCCGTCTTTAATTTGACAATAGCTAAGATAGAAGTAAACCTAAAACTACACACTACCTAAATAGAAAGAGAGCCAAACTAGACCCCCATTTGTTTGGCCATTTTAGAGTCCACATGCTAGATGCACCAGGCCAACAGCTAGGACAAATCCTCTACTGATCACAAACATTACATGTGAGGGATGTGACTCACCGTGTTTGGGCAACTGCATTTTTGCATTATTGTACCTCCCTAACTATCACTTGTCACTATATAAATCAAGAGAGAGACAGAGAGACACGTGCCATTACATTAGTGGTCTAGAGTTTAGTTCTGTAACTAGCTTCAAAGAAGGTTCAATAGATGGTCCTCAATGATTAGGAAGAATACATAGATTTCTTAAACTCATATGCATAACACAGATAATGCTCATTTTCTTTAGCTAGTTGCATATCAAGGAATAATATGAACATATAAACATCTAGTACTTGAGTTACTAACATTTTTTTGTTTTTTGTTTTATGTTTAAAATCTAACATCAGAAGGTGAGACTTTGAAATCGAAACATGTATCCTCTTTTTATTTCTTCCTTATAATTTGGATACTAACCTACCAATAATCGAATAAACTATCTATCTACTGCCAAATGATTAACAGTTTCAGTCTATTACATGTATTCATGGGCTTCAGTCATTTTTATTTCTAAATTTATGCAGTGCTATTCAATAATTTATACTCAATTTATTGAAACCATCAATACATGTAAAAGAATTTGAGTTTGATTTTAGTAAAGCACATTATTAAAGAGTGAAAGACTTTCTAGTTAGTCTCATAGCCAATCTGAACAACCTAACATCAACTCCTTCCATCTCATTTTGTTTAAAGTCAAAGGTTTTGATTAAGGAATTTAGAAATGTAATTAATTTTTAGACTTAATGAAAATTTATATTGTATCTTTTATATTAATTAGATTCTCTTTCATTTATGATGTTTTTCATTTCATACTTTACAATAAATAGTCAAGGATATAATAGGAAAACATGTGGCATACTTGATTAATATCATTTCAAATGGAAACAAAATGCTTCAACTGAAATGAGAGGGAGAGAGTAAATTAAAGAACACATACATGCTTGAACACCATTTATCTGCCGACAGTTGTTGCCATCTATTTATGATACTTTGTGATTTCATATTGCTAGAGTAGACCAAAGTTATTAGGAACTTTGGATGTTTTGCTTAATTTCAATGGGTATCTTGGTCAATCTTTCGCTTGATCTATCTGATATAAATTGGAGCTGTTGTCTCATTTCAAAACTTAACATCTGATATTATTTTCTCAAAACCATGATTTTTGAGGTGCAATATTTCCCAAAAGTAAGATATATAGTAGTATAGTATTCCATAGGGAAGTTAATAAATGATGGGAATTTGAATTGGAAGAGGCGTGTTGCATAGGAAGTTAATAATTTATCCTCCCTAAATGGAGCCAAAGCAATAAATGGAAAAGGGGTAATTTATGTGTCGTACCAAACATGTTGATAAAAAGTGGAAACATAGGAAGGAAGCAAGAGAGAGACACACACAAAAAAAGAGTGGACGTGAGGGTGGTGGGTCTGCACCTCTAATTACTTGTGTCGTAACTAGTAACCACCAACCTGTAGGCTAAACGCCAGTAGGGAAGCACATGGTGGTGCCTCAACATATATCATATTTCCCTCTGAGAAACCATGCCAAGATTAAGAGATTTTCTGGGCCCAAACAAAGGAATTAGGGATATTATGGGCCAAATATATAGAATCTGTTGCTTCTTAGCAGGTAACTTCACAGCCACTTTTGTGCCCAAAATCTAGCCAACTTGTTCACAATTTACAGAAATTGCTGGCCTAGCTGGTCTAACTCTTGCTATATATTTTTGGGGTATAACATTTACCTAGGGGGACCAATCCTGTGCCTCTTTGTACGATATCACTTATTAGCTTCAGATCCATGTGAGCAACCATGGGTACGACCCTGCTCCTATTTTCCACTCAACATTTTCAATCAATACTACCATGTATTTCTTTGAGAAATAATAATATTCATGTCAGTATGTCACAAATCAAACATTTAATCTCAGACAAAACAATAACTAATTAAAAAGTGTGTAGCTTTGGTTTAACCAATTGGTGTACACAGTGTGAGATTTGAATTAAGATGGGGATGTATATGGCTAATAATTGTTCTTATTTTGGATAAAGAAGAAGATAAGGATCTCTTGGAGTAGCATGTGGGGTCACAATAATAGAGAGGTGCCCATTTAACTCGAGTATCTCAAATTTGTTTGGAAGCATAACAGTGCTTCAGCAGGGTGTTGAGAGAGGATACGACAGTTTATCTCAAAGCAGTGGCACAATTTAGTTGAGTTATCACAATTCCTAATTTCCCATACTTTGTTTAGCACTAATTGGAGTACAATTTTCTGCTAATTTAGTGGAATTTATGCAGTGATAGTGAGGATCTTACTTGGGGGTTAGTGAACAATAAGATGAGGGTTATTTAAAGTAAATACCTTTATTTCTGGTGATAATATTTTTTGCTGAAAGCATTACTTGTTCGAGTGTTGGTGTGTTTGCAAGTGGTTATCACTTTCACTGGCCCAGCGATTGCTGTTTCAGTAGCAATCTGATATTATCCATACTTGGCTCAATGTGTTTGTGATATTGACACTGAATGTTTCAAACGACTAAAATAATGTTAGAAAATGAAGGTGTTGGAAGAAGTAAAATGAAAATAAATGCATTGATATTTTAAATTTTTGGAAAATTGATACACTTACGCCATAAAGATGCCGATTTTCATTATGAAAAGTAAACAAACCTTATATGTATTGTATTCATGGATTTTAGGTGGAAAGAAGAATGATATAAATATGTATATAATACAGATTGTTTGTCGATAAAATGAAATAGAAACAAAGTGTTAGAAGTTAGGTATCATAATTTAATTTTCTCTACATTTGAGGTGAATGAGACGAAAACTTTTAAGATTCATTTTGTGATTAAGATGTGATAACATAATTAAGATAAGACCAAAACACTTACCATATTTAATACTAGGTGTATATTATGATAAAAACCCTATAATAATAACTAATGGTGGTGAAACAATGATCAAAGGTTGATAGTGAGGACAATAATGAGAGTCACAATAGTGAAGGTGTTTGATTTTTTTTATTTTTTTAAACAATTTTGGAATTACTTCCGCATTTCAATGAATTTCCTGTCTAAAATCTATTAAATTTTAAAATTTTCTGACTAAATTCATTACTAAAAATTGATTTAAATACTTCAATTTGTACCTTTAACTAAATCAATAACAACTTGGGTAAGCTTTAGTCTATCGTATACAAAAACTTATATATTTTTAATTATCTAAAAAATATTGATATAGTAAAATAAAGAAATGCATAAAAATATATAATAATTAAAACAGGGATCTGTGATGTTATTTAGATTTGGTTGCAATATTTGCATGTGTTAAAAGTATGAGCAAGGCACACATTCAAGAACACATTAGTCCACACTAGATATGGAAATTATGTTGGTCAGGCTTGGTTAAGGTTTGACTAAACTTAACTTTTCTTTAAATAAATAAATAAATCTTAATGTCTTTAAAAGATTGATAAAGTTATTATTTTATTTACCTAAATAGAAAACTAAGTAATAGTTTTCTTATATTATTATTATTATTATTATTATTATTATTATTATTATTATTATTATTATTGTTATTATTTTATTATGTAAAATATGTAATTAAGCATATATAATGTAACAGAATAAATAACCAATGAATAAATTTATATTTTAGTAATTTTATAAATTTGATTTTTGTTTAAGTGAACACACTTAACTTAAAAAAATTCAATAAATATATAATTTTATATCATAACAAACTACTAGCTAGACTTAACAAACTTTTGTATGAGTTACAAAAAAAAGAGAGTATCTTTTAACCTAGTAAATTTTCAAAGAAATCCGAGTTTGACTTCCTAAAGAAAGTTTCACGTTATTATCAATTTTCAAACCAACAAATACGTTAGAAAATCCATACAAAATTGACAGAAGAGATCAAAATCGTATAATTGTTATACTTAAATAACTCAAAAAACCTAATAGACCTAGAATATAATAATACTACTTTTAAAGAACAAAGAATAGAAGCAACTAAAAGATATATTTTCACCTCATCTTTATTTTCTCACTACTATATAGAACCCTTTCTACATTGACTCTTGATGCGCTTCTACTTCAGTTGACAATTTGATATATATACAAATGTAATAAAAAGGGATTTGTTATATATTGATATAAAATGACTGAAAACCCTATCTACGAACTTATCTGATGCAATTCACTACAGCATACACTGAAACCCTACGAAGGACCATCACCTAATAACTTGATACGATAATTGAAATTTAACAGTGGAAACGTTGAAGCTGTAAATGCATGGCGTCTCAACTGACAGAAACAACAATCTTTCAGCTAGTTCCTTTAATACAAACATTTGTTACGTTGCAGCACAGTGCACGCATCAGAAAATTAACTACAAATGAAAATGATATCAATAATGTTATTATATGCAGCGTATATATGGGAATAAATCCAAGTATCCCCCGGTTATTTACCAGAAAATTTTCATCTCCATTATATACGAATATGTAAGAGTTGGTGTTGTATCAGAGTTATGCTTGTATGGTTAAGTGGTAGTACGAGAAACTCTAGCTAATTCAGTTACATCTGGCTCATGATTTGCTTTTACGGCTATAGCTAGCGGTAGGTGGGAACCTCTTAGCAGTGTCATTATCAGCTTACTGTTTTGCGCCCATAATTGGAACCTCACCAAGGTACCTTATTCCATTGACCATTCTCATCAACTAGCAGATTATGTTATCAGATGTGGGCTTCCCTGATTATGATTTAACAAGCACATATATGTTATATATTTCGATAGCTGCTTTACACTCGTGTTATTGACATGATCTCCATAAATAAAGTAGGCTTCGAATCCCATTGTGCAGAACAAAGTTTATAGTGGAGGGAATATCCTAATCTTGCTTTCCCCTTCCCTATCAATTTTTAATTGCATCACCATAGATGTTCCTTATTATTTTAGCGAGGGGATATTATTAGATTCCAAAACACAACAATAAATAATACTATTGAGAAAATAATAATAAAAAAAGTTAAAAGCAAATATATATTAAAAAAAATGCATATTTATTTATAGCAAAACGATCATATAAAAGTGACGTTCTTGAGAAGTTTAAGATATGTTAATACTTTTACAGTACGTGTTTATAAACACACAACAAACAACTATAATTAAAAAAAAAAAAAAAAAGTGTCCATGTATTGCAGAGGAGGAGGGAGGCTGGGAGAGGCATTTGGGAAGAGTTACTAGAGTGTTGTGGAACGTGGTAGGAGTGAGTGTTAAAAAAGGGTTTGAAGGGAGAGTGTAATTTAAGAGGGAGGGGCATGAAAACTGGAGATTCCACGTTTTCCCTTTGGTGGGCAGAGAGAGACCCAATCATGCATTGAATAGGAGCAGCATGGCCCATAAAATGAAGGGTCCTGATTGATGGAATGGTGGGGCATATCCCAGTAGGGTCATTAAGACTCACCATGGATCTTTCTGTGATGCCAGCAACTGCTCCATTAAAAGGGCGAAAGGAAAATTAAAAAAAAAAAAGAAAAGAAAAGAAAACAGAAGATGGAGAATGATCCACCTGTTTGTCAGTGACATTGTACATTGGTTTGGGCAATAACCAGCAGCCGGACCCCACCACCTGAGCCAACACCTGGAACCGATAAGGTTTTGACCCCACCGTCCTATTACCCCCATCTCTCTGAAAAATCTTAATCATTGATGCAGTAAACCTCGAGATTCATGGCAGAGATTTAGAATCAGAATGATCAAAAAGCAATGTAAATTTTAATACTACCGCAACATTTTTTTACATTGTTTTCTCTCTTTCTCTCTGTGTTGCGGTAACACTGTTTCATCCCTTTTACCACACGACCTCTGTGCTGTGCTGTGGCCCAGAAAGAGAGATGGAGAAAAGAAAACAGCGCTCAAATGCCTGTTAGGTGGGAAACTTTGCAAAACTCATGGAATGGAATGCAACTCAGTCGTTTTCTTCTCTTTAACATAAAAAGCATAAAATTACAATCCAATTACTTAAAACCCTACTCAGGAGAAAGCGTAAAGAAAAGAAAAATTGCACAAACAATGATGATAAGATATCGTGTAGTGAAATAACTCAATCAAAGAAGACATTTTTTTTACCAGAAAAAAAAAAGAAAAAGAAAAGAAGAAGCAGGCAGCGAAATACCCATTTGTTAAATAGTGTCATCTGCCAAACCCTAAAAAACCCTCCTCCTTCGTTCTCCCTCCCTCCCCTCCAAAATATTAATCACACCAAAAAATTAATTTCGGGAATAAATAAAACTGAATTTCGAAGATCATCAACCAAACCTCACGTGTGTTAAACACATCCATCTATCCATCATTCCTCATCCATCCACCAGCATCAATCAAACTACACCACAAGTGAGAAGAAGAATTTACGGTGATCACATCATCACATCACATGATACGATATGATCTGATATCTTCTAGGAGTGGTGACTGGTGCTATCATGGCGATCATCGGCGCCACCTCCACGGTGCGATTGCGAGCCACTCGCCTGAGATTCAGAAACACCGATAACAGGACGATAAGGACTAAGCCCCGCAAGCATACTCAAATGCCCTTCATTCATATTATTATTATTATTATTACTATTATGACTGCTTCCCCCAACCGCGCCAATCCCAGAAGACCCTAGTTGCTGACTCGGCAAAAGCGCCATGGGCGTGGGAAAGTTCATGAAATGCAACCCACTAGACATGGTGCCTCGATACAAGGCACTGTTGTTAACCGGAGGGAAGGTCCATATGGGATCGCCACTCATGACTTGATTAGAGTTTGAATTCGCCACCATCCATATGTTGGCGGCGTGGCTCGCAGGAATCGCGCCTGCACTCGACTGGAGGAGATAACTTCCCATTTGGTGCTGCGACGAGGTGGATAGGTCTTGTTCGGTTGGTCTTCTTTTTCGGCCTAGGGTTGATTCCTCTGCGCTTGTATCTGACAAATCCAAGGTGGAGGAGGGGGCTTCGGGCTTGGCCTGGAGCATGGAGGTGTTGAGGTTGTTGGATTGGAAATTGAGGAGTGTGGAGGTATTGGTGTTGGTGGTGTCGGAGGATAAGGCGATGCCGGGGAACAAGGTGCGCCGTTGTTGGAGGGAGAAGTTGGGGTTGAAGTAGGAGGATCGGAGCTGGGAGGGTACGGACATGGAGGAGCCGGAGCTACGGAGGGAGATGTTGAGGGAGGTGAAGTTAGCGGGGATGGTGCCGGTACCTGTGGCAGCGATGACGGCGGGCTCGGCCTGCTGGAGGAGCCACTCGATGGTTTCGCCGTCGGACTTGTGACCGAGTTCGCGGGTGAGTTGGAAGACGCGGGCGGCGCAGAGGGCGGGCATTCGGATGCGGCGGCCACGACCGTCCACCTTCGTGTGCCTATCCTTCGTCGACGTGCGTTTCGGCGGCGGTTTCTTGCTGTTTGGCGGCTCCGACGCTGCGGCGAGCTGGTTGGATCGGGTGGAATTGGACGTGCTGGGTTCCGCGGAGATTGCTAGGGAAGGATAGGGGGAGGAGGTGGAGCAAGACGCCGCCTCTTGGTCTTCTTTCTTCTCCAGGAGCTGGAATGGGAAGTTCTGACGGTGATGGTGGTTGTGGTGATGGTGGTGGTGGAGATCGTCGCCTCCCTCCATGATCGCATGGAGAGGAAATAAAGTTGGTGCGTTGAGTGAGTTGTGTGTGCGTGTTTGTGTGTTTGTGTGTGTGATCGTTTTTTCTATTGAGACAGGTTGTGATCAGCGAGTTTGTAGTTTAATCTGTGTGGTGGGTCTTTGTGGTTTTTAAGAGTAGGGGATGTGTGTGTGTGTGTTGTTATTTGTTTTGTGTAAGGGAAGGAATTTGGTTTGAAATGGAGGGGGGTTTAGGAGAGAGAAAGAAAGGGAGAGAGGGGATAAGGGAGAGGTGGGAGGGCAAGAGCTTTAAGCAACAAAAATAATGAGTGGGAATTATATGGGTGAGCTTTAAAAAGCATGATTTTTTTCAGAAAGGAATGGCTTTGTTGTTATGTTGATGAGCTTTTTAATTATATATATAAGTGGGTTTGTGTATGTGTGTTGAATTGATTTTTGTTTGTCATGGTTTTGAACTAAGTAATTAACCCTTTTGGTTAGATGGGAGGCTAAGGTAGGGTGGAGTGGAGTGGGAAGAAATGAGAGAGAGGTGTTAAATTAATTTGATTTGTGAGGGAAGGGAGAGGAGTTGGCTTTTGATTGTGGTTGGACAGGCTCTTTGGTTCAGACTCCACGTGAGGTGCTCTTTTTATCATTCAATCCATAAAGACAATGGTGGCCGAAGTGGGACCCGATCCCAAGTCAAAAAATTGAAAGACCTGGAAAGGAAAGATTATCGAGCGGGTCCCGTCTCATTCAAGTAATCATTTCGTTTTGCCTTTGGCCTTTACCTTTTGTTCTGCACCTTTGCTCCCAACTTTGGTATTCCTCAATCCACCCCTTCCCTTTCCTATGGGCCTAATTACACCGTTTGCCTTTTCTTTCTCTTATTTTCACATCAATTACAACCTCAACCTCTTCTTTCTTATCATTAACACTTTTCATTCTATTGCTTACCACACATAATTCCATCCTTCTTCCCCCCCTCCCCAGGGGGCTGCTACCTCATCAAATACCCTTACTCCCTCTCACTCAACTTAACTGCTAAACCAACCAACCAAACATACACACAAACACCCTTCTCCATCTCACAATCATTATTATATCTACCCATTACATACAGTACCACTATCAATACACTTCTATAAGATCTTTCAAGGATTTCAGGGAAAAGGACAAGATATATACATGAGGAATTTTGTAGTCACTCAACATATTTGCTATTGCGGGTTATCATCTTTAGCCTTAGGACCACAAGTGGCACATGGAAATGGATCTAAATCCTTGAAAAGTTTCAGAGAGAACAAGCAGTCCCTATGTTTGTTCATATGGGAAGTCGATTTCATCATTTCTATTGGTTAGCTAGGAGTCCTTTGATGGGGGTTTCGTTCCCTTCAAGTTGAGGCTGACACTGTTCCTTTTACGCCAATGTGACCCAGCTCCATTCAACCCAATTTCGTTTTCTTTGCATTTATGAACACCCTCTAGTTTCTTGTTATAGGACATGCCCGCCATTCATCCCTAAACTAGCTCCACAAACTAATAAATTAAACTAAAGTCACACCTTCAGTCTGTGACACATACCATATGATTGAAACAAATGAGGCTAACACAACACGTATTGAAGACGACAGTGAATCTTCAACTCTCGCCTCTTCGGGAATATACTCAAGCTTTTCCCTTTTCCCCTTTAGTTTCTTCAAGGTTTTTCTTCTACATATTTACCTGGAATCAAACACTTGTTTTTATCGTTGAATTTTGAAGTAGGTAAAACTCCAACTGTACTTTGGTTAGTCTCTAATAGTGAAGTAGTTTGGATCAGTTATTGTCACATGCAAGAGCACCTATGGGACAACGACAAACAACACCTTCCCTCACAAAATAAGGCAATTTATGTCATTGCATTGCATATATACATTCACCAAACAATTTATTGTGCTGTAGCTCCAAAAGTAATCAAGCATGGAAATTCAACGCAAAATCCAATTAACCTGTGCTCATCATACTTCTCATTACTGTAATTTGTCATTATGTTAACCATTAAAATATTGTAAGAATTGAAGCACTGTAAGAAAAGGTTCACTAATTTTTTTTTTCCTTCTCTCCTTGTGTATAATACATTAAGAGATAATTGCGGCACTATACAACATTGTTGTACATATAACAAATAGTATAATAACGTGCTCTTATTACATGGCCTCTTTCAAATTACTGAATGTCGACCTCTCAGCTACTTTCTCTCCCACCTTCTTCTTCTTCTTCTTCTTCTTCTTCTACTTTTTTTTTTTAAAAGAAAAAAGAAAAAACTTAATTGCTAATATTTTTGGACACAATAGAAAGCGCCCACGTGAGATTCCTCAGCTTTTTATACCACACATGTAAAAGCTCTTGTCGCAAAATTACATGCCAAGAAAGGCAAAGACTAACGTACCGACAAGTTGACAAATTTTTAAACGCTCTCTTCAATCCTTGATAACGACTCTAAACTCAATAGTAAAATCCATAGTCAAAATCAAACCTATACCATATTTTTTACTCGGATCAAAGAATATGCATGCCCTATATATATATATATATATATATATATATATATATATATATATATATATATATATATATATATATATATATATTTATATAAATTCATACAAACTCAATCCTACACTTTTGTTGTCTCAAAATAAAGTTTTCATTTCTTTCCTAATACATCTTTTTCCAGTTTCACACTTTTAACACAATCAAGTACCATTCATGAGACGCACGAAACTGCTAATTATATTACTCTCTGCACCTTAATCTTACACAATGTATAAAGTGTTTGACTGCACACAACATTTATGGTTGATTATTAGTGAATTTTCAATGAATCATCATATTCATCATTTAGTTAATCCTATTCTTGTATGAAAAATATTAGTTCGTCAAGTAACCACTATAATTAATTATGAGCTTATCCATATGATATCCAAGAGTAAAACGAATACTCCTGTTGTAAAATTGAAAAGGATATTGGTAATACGTGAAACAATGACTGAAACGTACGTGTTGTGTCCTATCCACGAGGGTTTCGCAGACCTGCGTTGTAAGCAGAGAAGTGGACCAGATAGATATTAAAACTGTTGCTGCCCTAATTACCACATACATGCCTTGCTACTTATGTATGTCATCTTGAAAATGACATCTTACCCTCCGCAAAATCAACGTATATCTTCTAACAGTGAACCATATTAAGTTAAAAGACTCAAGATAAAACAAAATAGCTATAATCTTTTGGTTTCCTACAAAATATCCAACTTCTATTCATTTATACATGATCTGACCATTTATATGAAACTATACGATGAATATTTACTTTAGTCACTTCTGAAACTGGTGGCACCAAACTGTAATTTCCTGATAAACCGGACAAAATAGCTTGCGACCCAACAAGAACAATCTCAGAAGCGGGTGGTCAAAGCATGTTTGGTCCCACTCTGGTTCGAGTTACTGCAAATATGTATGTTTGTATTTAAATTTTGAAAAAAAAATTAACCCAACGTTTAAGTATGAAATGAGGATGCTATAACGATTTATATAGATAGGGGAGATTAATAGGGATTGATGATGGGGAGGGATATAGGATAGTGACACTAGGTAGAGCAGCAATTAATGGGTATTTTGTGATTGGTGGTTGCTGTCATTCACACTTCACAGAGGACTCGGATTCCACTATCTACTTTCTTGTCACCATAATTCACAACTACAAATAAAAATATCTTTTCTCCCCGCCAAAACTTCTACGTCATTAATAGATTAACCCTCTATTCATTCTGCCTGTTTCTGCTTCTTTGGTTACAACATAATAGTAAAGACAGTGTGATGATGATGATTTGATTAGAAAAGTGAAACAATCTGTGGAAGATATATATATTTGGGTAATTTAATGGACGTGAATTAGTTAAAATAATTAGGTGCATAGATTTAGGTATATCTAGGATCCAATAATTAATGAGGATGGGAAGAAGATAGTTGTGGTGAGATGCAGACGCAGATGTATCTTAGTTGGCAATGACGTATGAGAAGAATCTGGTGAGCATCTGAAGGCTTACGTGCAAGGATTGGCTAAGTGCCTCTTTAGTTTAGACTGTTGGAATCTTGGTGTTCATCTCCTCACTGAGCTCACCCTACACACAAAACATACTATCTAACCATTTTTCTCATCTGCAAACTACCTTCGCCCATAAATCATTCATCACTTTTAACCCGGTATTTACAAATATATTTATATGATGCTTCATAATGTTAAGACAACGGTGTTAAAATTCACAAATTCTCTTTAGGATTTTAAATGTAACTATTTCATTAATTACTGGAAATTAAGTGTTTCAAAGTTAGGAGGAAAATTTCAAAATTCATTATTATTTTTCGTTATTGCCCTCTAGTCGGAAAATTTATTTCGATGACATGTTTCATTTCAATGCACTAAACACCAATTTTCTTGTAATACAATGAAATGAGTGCTTTAGTGAAGTAAATGCAAAATGGGGATTCTCGAATATAAAGAGGAAGAGACAATAATGAGAAAGGAGGCATGTGACTTATTCAAGGTATTTTTCATTTAAGTTGTAATTGTATCTTTTTAACTAGGAGGATATAATGGTTATTGTTGTTGGTTTTCATTTTCTCTTTATAAAGAGATTATTATATGAAACACTTATGGTATAAGACGTGAACATATATACTAATTTTCGAAAAAAAGAAGAGAAAAGAGAGTTTATTTACTACATTAACTAATTTTAGTAATTTTTAACTTTTTTTTATGTTATTTCAACTCACATATAAAAATAAGTTGCTTATAAAACCTAGTGGTAACACTGCTTACATTAAACTCTTTGCCGACAATAGTTACATAATTTTATATTACTTATAACAGGATCAGAAATTATTAACGTCAGGATTTGTTTCGTTTTTTAAGTTTTAAAAATAATTCTAGACTCAAAAATAGTATTTAAAAATAAGTTGCAAAATTTGTTTGATAATTATAATTTAAAAATTGATTTAAATTATACTAATAATTATGATAAAAAAATAACAAAATAATAGCTTCGTAATAATAAAGACAGACAATAATATAAATATAAATATCATTAGTAAAATTTTTTTTTTTAAGTTACATTAAATTTTTAGTTTTTGGAGTTTAAAAAAATTAACAACTTTTTTAATAAAATAATGATCAAATGATTATTTAGTTTTTAAGAATTAAAAATCTAATAAATACTCTTAAAAACAGTAAATGTATAAATGAATCATTACCTCGTAGAGATATTATTGCACCACTGTTCTATGACCTTTATTACCAAGTTGACTGTTATCACATTTTTTCTTTCAACGTTAACACCTGGTCCAATTTTAAAGTTGGTTTTCGTAAAGAAGAGAAATTATGTTTTGTTTGTTTTAGTTTTATTTTTTTAGTCTTTAAAAATATTTTTAAAAAATGAAAAAAAAACTTATTTATTAATTTTATTTTTGAAAAAATTTAAATGAAAAAATGATATGTATATATATATATATATATATATATTAATATAAAATGTGATAAAAGTTAAAAATTAATTTTAATAACTTCATAATAATAAAAATAATAATTTAATATAATTATTAATGAATTTTTCCATGAAGTATTAATAAAAATATAAAATTAAAATAAAGAACGTATTTTTATTAATTTAAAAAATCAAAATTATTTCTAAAAATAATAAACAAACAAATCTTTTAATATCTAAAATAAATGTTTATAAGTATAACAACAACCGAAACCAAAGCTCTTATTAAGCCAAAAATATTTTTTAAAATAATAAAAGAATAATTCAACCTGTTCTATGACTTAAATTTTCTTTTAAATTCAACAAATTTTCTTTTTGGTGGACTCACTAATAACTCCTCTCTGAAGAAATTTCTCACGCGCTTAAATTATTTTAAATAAAACACACAATTCTTTTTATTGACTCTCAAAATACAGCAAAATATAATGGAATATTCAAGGAATATTATTGTCTTAATATTAAAAAGATAAAACAAACCTCTAATATATGAAAAAAAAACAACTTTGTAATATTTTAAATCAAAACAACTTTGAAAATACCTAATATAACCCCTCTTAAATTTCCACCCACCTCCATTTCTATGAAAATTTAAATTACCTTTAATTTTTATATAAAAAAAATATTATTTATCTGCATTTTTATAAATTGTTTTTAAAAATAAGAAATGGGTGCGGTGAAGATCACATCACTTTCTTCATTAGCATTTTGCCTGCCTCTATTGGGCACTTTCATGAAAAGTAGCGCCAAGTGAATAAAATAAAAAGAAGGGGTAAATTAGTAAATAACTCACATCGCATCTCATAGCATTAGGCCACGTGCCATGCACTCTCTCCGCATGCTACTGAAAAATTCGTTACAAATAATTTGGATGTCAATCGCAAATCCAATCAGTCATTACCCTGGTTCCACTTTTTTATTTATTTATTTTTTATCTGGTTTTAATCCAAAAATACTATAATTAGTTTAAGTAATTAACAAATTTTAGTACAAATCTTAACAGATATTTTGGTTAAGATATTTTTGTTTTTAAATAAAATTAAGAATACTAAAATATATTTAATTTGATAAATTATGTCCTAAATTAAATCATACTTATTTTAGTTTAATATATTTAGATTATAATTTATATAGATTTAGATTAAATTAACCAATAAATTTATAAGTTATTTTATAAAATAATTATTATTTTTTAAATAAAAAGTAATATTATTTGATTAAAAATATATTATATATTAATTTAAAAGAAATTTACTTATTTTAATAATAAATATCAAATTAAATATTTAATAATAATTTATTTTAAGATTTAATTATTATTTTAAATTAACAAATTACTAAAAATAAATAATAATAATAAAATATAAGTTTTTAAATATTATTTTAAGATTAATGAATTTTTTTATAATTTATATATTAAATTATTTTATATTAAATAAAAATAATTTTTATTAATAAAAAATTAAAATTTCAAAATATATTTTTATTTAAATATATTTTTAATTGATTAATTTTATATAAATATGTTATTTATATATTTTAGTTTAATCTGATTAAAATTGGTCTGTAATTAGTTTAATATAATATCAGCTTAAGTTTAAATTTTTTAACCGTTTTAAAATATAAATTTTATTGGATTATCAAATTTATTTTACTTAATCCATAAAGTTAAACAGATCATCATTTAAATAACTCTATATAAAATGTATAATTTTATTTATGTTAGTTGTGATTATTTTATTTATAAGTTGATTATTTTGGTAACTTTATTTTAATTTAAAACTTTCCTCTTTTTTATTTTTTATTTTTTTCTTTCAAAATCAATCAACCGCAGTTCAACAGTTCAACAAAATGATTCCCTGTGAATGTTTTTAGAATATTTTTTTCAACCAATGTACGGTTCAGTTTCGTTTTTGCTTGACATTTCAACCCAATATATAATTTATACTCGAGGGTTTAGTGTTTTTTAATTTTCATTATATTTAATATGAGTTACACAAATTTAACAATTAATTAAAGAAAAAATAGAATAAAACACTTTTTCATCAAATGGGAGTGGCCTAGAAATCAAATAAAGTGGGGTCAGGTGATGTAGGTCACGTCATAAAAACAAGAAATCTATTGACATCACTTGCGGTGTCGTGGTCTACTACGCAATAATCTCGTATTACTTCCTATTACTCCACACTGTTATGTGGTTAACTACAATAAATTCTTAACTTTTTTATATGTAAAAATAAAATAAATTTCTTCAATAATTTGCACACTACTAATTGAGTTCGACCTTCTTATAATACTTTTTATCATGGTATTTTTTTAGTAATTATTTAGTAATTTTTCTTAATAAATATATTTCGTATAATTTTTTATGTTTATATATTACAATATAACAAAATTAATATATTTTATAATATAATAACTACTTTAGATAATTGCATCCATAATAATTTTTTCTATTAAAATCTATTATTATTCTCCACATTTTAAAGAATTTGTGAAAACTAAAATATTTTTTAAATAATGTTTATAAATAATTATTAAGATTTATTGAAAAATTAAGTGTAAAAAATTAATGACACAAATGATAATATTAGTTTGCCTGAGAAAAAAATATTAGATAATTGATGAATAAGATTCTCCCTCTTAATAAGGGAGTCAAATATCTTTTAAATTATAATAAAATCTCGTATTAATTAGAAATATAATAATATGTATTAGTAATATTAGTCGAATTTATAAAATTATTAAATATCTTATAATTTAATTTTGCAATCGAAAAATTAGAAAGATTCAATAAAATGTCAATCAACTAAAAGTTGTCATGTCCAATTCATAATTCACAACCCAATAAATAGAATAATTAGGTCAAATTGTTGGGCTAACTCACTTTTAAAAAATCGTTAAAAAAATATTATACATCCAACCCATATAATTATTTAGTTTTCTCTTGATGATTCTCATCTTCAACATGTGTTTTTATTTTTCTATTATCTTCATTGAATCCAACCGACTCTCTAAATCAGCGTCTTCGTTGAACACAATTTTTTGTTGGAGTTTTTCGTTCGTTCTCAACATAAAGGGGAAACAAGATCAAATCTTGGAACTCCAGAAACTTCTGACTAAGATTTGGGGCAACAAACTAAAGCAACTATCAGCGTTATGTAAATATTTAATTGGTTCCTATGTAGTATGCTTCATCAAGTGTCTCACAAGAAACAATCATAATTTTGTAATCTTGACCTTCATCAATTTTTGTAATCTTTGAAGCAGTGATTAAACCTAAAACTAAAGTTGAAAATTTTCATCATTGAATCACTCATTTGCATCATTTCCTATTTTAATTGTCATTTATTTTGCAGTTCTAGTTCCCTACTCAAACTTCCCACACACCATTTATTGCTGTTTTTATTTCATTTAAGAACTATAAATTTACTAGTTGATGTGGATGACCTTATTGTTTACTTTAACTCAAAAAATCGTTGTTATAACAGAAGAAATAGTAAAAATTGTTAGACTACATTCTTTTATAATTTTTATCATGTTCTTCTATAACTTTTAATAAATTTTTTTACAATTATCTATTCAATTGCTTTATTAATACCCAATAAAATAAAATGACTCCCGTAAAAAGTCAACATCTTAAGTAGCAATGTGGTCCATATGAGTGTATAAAAAACTTCGTGTCAGTAACACAGTATATTTTAAAAGATACCATTTTAGTAATCAGATTTTGAAGAACCCTTCCTTTGATTGATTCAACATGGTAGATAGAGAGATGTCAAAAGTATCAATTTCTGGAAAAGAGTTATAGGAAGGATGGGTCAACGGCTATTCTCCAACGGGATTACTAATTGTTTGGCTTAATTGCTCTTAGAAATCACTTTTCACATGCTCTTCTGACGTATCTTTTCATCACAGATGTGTTTTTTCTTTTATAACTTACTGTAATATACATCACATACTTTATTAAAAATTATATAAGATTTATTTTTTATTTAATAGATCTCACTTGTAATTTTCTAGCTTTTAACAAAGTTTAAATAGGAACTGGAAATATGTCAAAAAGTAATATTACAGAGTGTGTTGCTGATAAATTTCTCTTGGCTAGATTGTGTGAATGCATGATGCCTTAAACTCGAGGGACCACTTTTCTGCTGAAGGAAAAATTGCAGAGCATATGCATGCAGATGGATGATTGTTTTGGTTAGCAGAGATTTGTTGCTGCATGGACGTGCATTTTCAAGAACAATGAAGGTGGATTTGTGGGGTTATGATTGATATTGTCAAAAAGTTAGCAACGTCTTTTTCATGTTCACTGCTTTATTAACCCATTCCGATATGCTTGATGGATTATACTTGCTAACTTTTTTTTTCTTCTGCTCTTTGCTTTGTCTTTGCGTTAAGTAGATCTCGAGTATCTTTATACTCTCCTTCATATATCAGGTTCTTATTGATTTGCTGATGAAAAAATTGCATTTAGGTAATAGATGCAATTATGTGTGGCAGTACCATGATGATAGGTCTGAGTTATCTGTACTCTTTGAGTTTTGAGAGTAAAAACAGATTGTTACTTAAAAGTAGTCAAGCATCCACATGCTTCCAAGTTCCAACATAACATGATAAGTCAATTTAAGCCTATAGTTTTGTGTGTGAACTATACATGAATGGTAATGCATGACGTGGAACAGGTGTTTACCCTGTGCTCAAACCTCACTTTTTGTCACACCCTTGTGTTGCATCTTTCTCAGTCACTGTGTATTGAATAAAGATAGGTGATATTTTGACAATCAAAAACCATATAATCCTTCAAATAACTCACTTTTATTAATATAATAATCTATAAAATGATTTAATAAAAATAAAAATAAAGTAAAACTATTATTATAATATTAAAATAAAGTTATTTATAGGAGTTGTATGGATTTGGGTTGTAAAAATATCATTTTCTTTGAATAAAATATAGGATGATACTCATTCCCCAGCAAAAAATAGGGCAACATGTGTTATATCTTCCTCTATATAAAGAAATAAGAACACATTTGGTGAGAGTTACTTGTACCATTCTTAAACTCTTAAATTGATCAGATAGTTCTTAAACATAAAAACTCTCATATATATAAAAAACATTCTTAAAAATTATGAGATAATATATAAGACACTTTTTTCACTAAAAAGTTATAATCAAATTGGAGAGATAAATTATTAAATTGTCATAGGAAGTTCACAGTTGATTCAAATAACTCCATCATGATTAACTAACTATTGGCAATGCTCAACGATGAAAAGTTCATTCCTGATGTTTGTCGAATAATATCTTAGAGAATTAATGAGATTAAGAAAAAGATTATTTTATGCGAAAATGCCATGCTAAATTGCCCGATGGACAGTAACATGATATAACATGCAAAGGAAGAGATTGTAGTTTTGGTAAAATAGGAAGCGTATAGTATTTATTCCACTAAGAGTGGAAAAAAAGACTCATGAAAATCTGTGCTTTCTACGTGCCACTTTTTCAGTGCATAATATAGGATTTAGTCATGGCTTGTCACTTTATTCTCCAAAAGATGAATTCTGATTGACCTTTTACTGTTCATGTTCCAGAATAATTTTCAGCACAGCATAGGGCACTGGAGCATTCACTCATTCATCTCTCTCTCTCTCTCTCTCTCTCATTTTTAAATCGGAAAAAAATTATGTCTGCTTTTGCATTATGGTAGTTTCGCTGTCTCCAAAATAATATGAAGTACATATATACACATGAAGATGCCATGCCGTGCCCTCTGGTGTGCCACAAAATTAAATGCCAAAGCCCTCTGTTACAATTTTGTTTGTGCTGTCTGAAAAAGCTGCCTCAGTTTCTAAATCCTCAAGGCTGAAAATAACACGTCATTCAAAATATTTCACTCATTTTTGGACAACAATGCTTGAGAGATTGATCCTGGATTCATCCACATATGGAGGGGAAACTCCAACACATGCTAGAAATCTTGTAGGATGGTCCTGTGGATAAGGGAAGAATGAAACGAGTGGATGAGTATTAGCGACAGCTAGCTCATTATTTTTGTTGCTCTACTGGCTTTGCTTGTCTCAGATAAGATTTTATTTTAGGACTTTGTCTATGTTTGACATTGTCAAAGTAGATATTACATGTTGTCATGTTTGACAGACTAGAGAGAGTGATATCAGATTCTAAAGCATATGCATGAGTGCATGATTGTTGTGATTACTTTGTACTAAAGTGTCATCATCATTCAGTGCAGTTTTAGATGAACATGTTTCGCCACAATTTCAATCACATTCGCAGATCAAATCAATGGCAGCCATATATAATAAGTAAAGAATTTGTGTATAAATATAATATGTTTTAAAACATAGAGCCTTGAAGTAATCTTTTCATGTAGGTAAATATTTTCTGGAAAGGGAAAAATTGCTATACATATTTATTCAATACTTTAATTTTCAGTAAAAAGGACTAATTTTCTGAAAAAAAAATGGTAGACATATTTTTTAGTACATTATATATATTTGAACTCGTCATATTTTTTTCTCATTATTTCACTATAACAGTGAATGCAATAGTGATGAGAACCGGATCTAGCAAAAGTGACAAGTTGCTGAAATTTGATTAATCAGGTTCCCAAAGATTTTCTATTTAATGTCCAACAGTACATTGTCTTCTTTGATAGAACATGTACGCAGAGGTTTGTTTAGAAACAAAAAGTTAATTTTAGCATAAATGCATATTAATTAATTAATTCGTTTTTTTTATATATCTCAACATTGCATACTCAAATGACCAAGTTTTTTTATCAGAAATTTCTTTCCTCTTCAAGAAAGATGGAAAAGGATTAAGAATCAGATTGAATCTATTACTCAATCAGGGGAGAAAAAATAACAAAAATGAAGGAAAATAATTGATGAGTAGCAGGTTGTGGCCAAGTTGGGAACACTGATGTTGACTTGAAGTTTAACGCATTATATACTTTTCACTTGCATATAACGTCGTGGTCAATTGGTAAATGGCACCAAAAAACTCCATCATTTGATTTGATGTGTGCAAGTTTGTGGTCCATATTATTATCCCTGCAAAAAACACGTGGGTCTTCAATGTTCGGACCCTTTGAATTATGTCTCTCCTTGCCTCGATGTGTCTCTATGATGAAATCTACAATCTAAGTGAAGCAATTTTAGCAGAGGCAACATTGCTGAGTATCTGATCTAGCAGACTGAAGAGCGAATATCCAAATTTGTTCCATTGGGCATTGCATGAATAGCAAACATTCTCATAAAGCACGGACAACGAAAAAGGTTACAAATTCTTTGATATTATGATATGGTGTGTAGTACAATTGAGGTGGTGACTTCACTCACCACTCTATTCAACATTGTAAAAGATTTGGTTAGCAAGTACATTGCCTAAATCCAAGGGCCACTGAGTAGTCAATCTTCTGAGCTTGTCATGACATAAATACTGCCTCTGGTAAACTCCACATGAACCCATGCAGTGCAATACCAAGCACATCTTCTTTTCTACTACCTCCATAATAACACCCACATCGACATCATAAGATACAGTGCATGGTTCATGGTTGAAACACGAATCTATCGCGTTCAAATTAAAATTATTTTCAATCATTTTCATGTTTTATACCCGAAACATGGGTTAAATGTTTGGTTTGGGCATATGTGTCCCAGAATTCCTTGCCTCTCTTGTCAAACTGCAACTTGTTTAAAATTCAAAGGATGTTGTCAAGTTTGGCCCAAGATATACCTCGGGCTTTGTCACACCAGGGTTTAGCCCAATCAACTGGGCTATAGTTCCTCTTGGGCCAAGATATATCTTATTTATTACATTTTAGAATACTTATTTAAAGAAAAGAGATGCCAGAATCTTTAGAGGGTGCCGAGGAGTGGACCAAAACACTATGATAAACATTTAAACTACCAATAATCCAAAAAAAGAGCAATTTTGTTACTGTGTAAGTTGATGAATAACAAAAATAAGAGTAAGAGAGTAATATGATATATAACTCAAAATAGATTTGGTTGGATAGACATAAATTGATAAGTTTCCAGTTTACCAATTTTATAAAATAAAATAAATATTTAAAATTATCAGCTTTATAAAATAATAATTATATTTTAAATAAAATAAAATAAATTTTATTTTATTAAATATGTGTATTATAGTTTATATATTAAATTATTATATTTAAAATTAAAATTAAAATTAATTTTATTAATGACTTAAATTTAAACAAAAAATATATTTTATTTTTATTTTCTAATTTAAAATTTTACTTTTTTACTTTAAAATTTGGCCAAAATCTTGTACACCAAACATAAAATTTATGAACACCCATAATACAAACTAGAGTAGGCACATTCTTCCTACTTGCTCTTCTTATACCTTCATGGTTATTTAAAAAGATAATATAATATCCTTAGTTTTATGAACCAACCAAGATGTTATAGAGTATTTTAGATTAAAAACTTAAAAAAAATGGATGAGTTGATCCGAAAATATGTAATTATTTTAAGTTTCGAAATATGAAATTTATAATATAATTTTACCATTCTGAAAAGTTTTTGAAAATAATTTTTTACATGAATGATTAGAAACTGATTTTGAAATATTTCTAGAAAGTTTTCATAAAGGTAATAATGAAATATTTTTTGAAAGCTTATTCTAAAAAGTGTATAGCAAAGTGAATACGAAACCTATTTACATTAAAAACAATATTATCTTTTTATACGAGTATTAAATGAAAAAAAAACATATGAATGTATAAGAAGAAAAAAATTAGCCAAATTTATTAAGCGAGCCATCAATTGAATATTTTTTCATAGATAAACAAGAGGAAGAGATAAATATTTACCAAAAAAAATTAAATTATTACTTTTATATTGGTAAATTTTAAAATTTTATTATTTTAAATAATCAAAACATTTACTTAAATTTTTATAATTTCAATTTTTTAAAATATATTATCCAAATATATATATATATATATATATATATATATATATATATATATATATATATATATATTGACCAAACAATTATGACAGCAAAATTGTGCATGTCGCGAAGGAAAGAGAAAAGAAGGAAAATCATTCCATCAAAAGTTACACCTATGAAATAAAATTTGGAATTGTTGGATATCTCAGCATACTGCCTTGAATGTGGTAATCCTTATGATAAGAAATCCAAATATACAATAAATACTGTAACTTTACTATGTAATTCCACAACAAAAACCAATTGATAGAGCTAGTATACCGCTAGTAACAACCCAAAAGAAGTGTGAGGGATGAAACCAGCGAGACAGCTTCACAGGGTAATTAATAAATATATGGTCAGTGAACCACTAACTTTCTACATAGCTCCATCTGCTTAACACCTCCAAAAAAATGGCAACGGCCATGCCAAAAACCTACATACATATTCAACCAGAGAAAAATAAATAAGAAACATCCATAATTCATTTTTCAACTGTCATTGCTTTCCTCCTCCTCTTCATCCTCTTGGTCATCCTCATCCTTTTCCTGCCAATAAGAATTATACTTTATAAGAAAATATTTGTATGCACTATAATTTTGGAAGTGGTAATATCATTAATTTAAAATTTAAAACACAAGTAAGCACGAAATGAATACTTTAACAATGCCAATGAGATGGGGCATAGCTCATTCTTTATCTTTTGGTATCAAACATCTTACAATGTGTTCATAATATTTGTTGTGTTCGGATCATGAATGATTACAACTTTTAGTATTTTGAAGTGTCTTACAGAAAAACCTCTTTTGCTATTATTGAAATCATATATTTGGGAAGGAATAAAGATAAAAGTGGATGAAACACTTGAATTGACATTAACTTTATGTATTACAACGTATTCATGTATTCATAAAACCTATGGTACCGTTATTTATATAAATCTAAATCTGACTAATTAAGAAATAAAATCATGATCAATAAATCCTAATGAATAAAGAGAGGCTATAGTCTCAGATAATCTGATATGATATAACAGTTATTAATTGGAATTCACATCACATCATTAGTGTTTTTCGTTTCATTTTCTTTTGTATTAACATCTATACTAGACAAAAATAGGAACAAAAATTAGAGAGCATTCAGTTAAACCTGAGTTCAAAATATGACTACTAGAAGTGACTTGTACATTGTTCAGCATTAAACTTGCATCAAAAGAGTATTAGATTTAGTATCCATTGACTGAATTTTGGACGAACTCAGCATGGATTCAATGCCAGATTCCATAAAACATAAAAGGCAATACTCCCATCATATTTGTCAATCACCAATGCTTTTTCTAAGAAAAATGGAACTGCAATTACCTCATCATCAGCTTCATCATCAAAATCCTCCTCATCAAACTCCTGTGCCCAAGTCAATTACCATTAGAAAATAATGGGAGAAAATAACAAAGTAAAATGAATAGTAAAGTGTGTGCGATCTGAAAGTACAATACACAGAAGCCGAAAGGTGAAAAGTTTAACTTACATTGTTGAAATAAGTGAGTGGATTTGGCCATAAATCTTCCTTGATCAATTCTGCAACCTGAATTTAGAGTGATTATTGCTTTAAGACTAATGTGAAGAAGAAAATGGAAAATTACTAAAGAACTTCCATGTGGAAAGACTCTTACAAGAACAGAAAAAAATATACCTCATCATGGATTTCATCCATATCATCTTTATGTTCACAGTCACTAAACCAAGTAAAGAAACTGCATTTATTGGCACAAGAAATTTTAAATATTAATCATTGGTTCCATGAACTATTCCTCAAAGGAGATTTATTAACATTTCCATCATATATGTCAAGTAACAATTAAGAACAAGAAAATCTGTTGTTGACACACGGGAAAGAAATTTTACTAAAAGCTGCAGCATCTGGTTTGCCAAGTTACGCTCTGTCTTGATTAAAATTACCCTGTTCAAATGGTTGGTTAGGGCATCAAAGATTTGCATGCTGTCATCCTTGTTAAGATTTCCAAACAAGACTGGAGAATTCTAACTGGTATGAAGAGATTATTTCTACCAAATCCGCACAGGTAAATAATTTTCAAATTCTAAATCTTTGAAAAAGTTGTTCTTGTATAGAAAAGCAGGCAACAACATAGAAAAGTTTCACAGGGAAATGCATGTCTTTTGAATCAAAGTGGAATATATGGTAATCAAAGCAGACATCACTAACTAGGTGTCTTTTCTTGATCTGCTAGTTGATTACTTTGAATGCCAGAAAACTCCAGCCCCCTCCAATGGTAGATTATGATTTTCTTTTTCAAAAAGAAAAGGCTTGGCTAAGAATAACCAGTGGTCTCAAATAAAAAACTAAAATGTATGAATTACCATGGCTTTCTTTGTTTATAATATTACCGAGCTCAGAAATTAGGGGAAAAAAAAGCATAAAAACAAAAATTTTGGTATCAACCTGATATCAATCCGACCCCGCTTCCCATTTTTGTCATGATTGACTCCATTGGGTAATCCCTGTATGTTTAAGGATTATGTTTCAAAGTAAAAAGGCAAAATAAAAACTGCAAGTGATGATCGGGGAGAAAAATTGAAATCATAGCCTTACCTTGCCCTCTTTCCATTTAATGGGGGTAGCAGTTATCTTTGTTGATCCTTCTTCAAAGAAGGTAAAAGTCTTTGTAAGCTTTGTATTCTCAAAATAGGGATTGGGATTGAAATTCTGAACAAAAAATAATTTAAAACTGGTCATTTTTGTCTGTAGAGAATTAACATCTGGTTATTCTTAAAAGGTGATTAAAAACTGGTCATTTTTGTCTGTAGATACCTTTAAATCACTTCTACAATGGATAGCACCACTTAAGTTAAGACAAGGGTTTTGTTAGGGCGTGAGACAGTGAGAACGAGAGCAAGAACAACTTACAAAGGTGATTGAGTACCCAGATTTGACATCTTTATTGTCTTCAACCTCGAGAGAACCCAAATACTTAAATATCTAAAAACAAAGGGTGCCAGCAATGATTTAAACTTCATCAACAGGTTTATCAGTAATCAACGGAATAAAAGCATTGAAAGCATTCTCGTGTAAACCTCACAAAGTGACAAAACAAAGTAAATAAATAAACCGAAATTAACAAGAAGGACAATTTAACATAATTGCAAAACTTCAGCACGTATGAGGAAAGAAGCCAAACCTTTTGATCCTCAAAATTTAGAAGTTCACAAAGAGCAGGGTGACTCATAAACTGCGCAAGCAAAACAAAGATAAATCGGACAACATATTTTGAATTTTTAACCGTCATAACAATAATCAAATTAACAAAACGACAATAAATGAAACTCACAGCAGTAAACCAGAAATCGGGAATAGATTTGACGATAATCTCATTTCGTTTATCGTAAACTGGCTTCCTTATCTCATTGAACTTCTGCTCTACTTCGAGGACCTTATCACTCGCCTCCTCATTGATCTACAACGATGTTAAAATTCAAATTCATCATCAATGCACGATAGCATATATAACATCCACAATTCATAAAATTCAATTTCGCCACGTTAATCAGAGGAATCAATAAATTTTGTGACAGTTTAAAACGGACATTGAAAACCTAAAAAACTGGAAAATATGAATTCAATCGATGAGTGAGAATTTAGCGTAGAATGATGACGTGGAATGGGAAATGATGAAACCTTGTCGAGCTCGTCTTGGACCTCTTGCAACTTCTCAATGGAGAGGATGAGTTTTTCGTCGATGGTATCCTCCAAATTCTCTGTGATTTTCAATTTCTTCGTCTTGTCGCCAACCATCTTCGCCTGAAACGCGCGTTTTCAAAAGCGAGGGGTTGTTTGGTGTGGCAGAGGAAGCCAAGTGAAAAGTGTGGGAAATATGGTTAGGGTTTTGCGGGTTTAGGCTCGAAATTCTCGCTGACGAATATAAATAGGCTATCCCAAGACAAGTGTACATCCAAGGTGTTTTCGTCATTTTACCCAAGCTGACGTGGATACTTCAATTTTCAACATTTAAGGGGAGCTCAGCAAAAGCAAATTTTTAATCTTTTGTAAAACAATTATTTTCAACGTACACATATACATTGAAAAAATGGCAAGAACTTGAAATAGGGGTACACGTTATATTAACGAATTTATACTTTTAAAAGAAAAGGAATTTTGAAAAAACAAAGTGAAACATTAACTATATTTGTATGGTTTTCTTGAAAAAAAAAGATAATATACTTTAATAATTTATATTTATATAATATTTAATATATATTTTTTATTAAATATATATTTAGAAATTATCTTGAAATAGATTATTATTCAGTATTATATTATCAATTTATCTTTATTCTTATCTTATATTTATAGAGACTTAATTAAATAATAAATATCTTTTTATAATTACGTTAGTGGCAAATCGAGAAAAGCGATCGAAATCGAAGGGAAGAAATACGACTCGATAAGATAAACAAAAATTCATTCGATGTCTAATTAGAAATACGTAGCATTGTTAGTGGCAAATCGAGAAAAGCGATCGAAATCGAAGGGAAGAAATACGACTCGATAAGATAAACAAAAATTCATTCGATGTCTAATTAGAAATACGTAGCATATAGCATCGAGAAACACAATCGAGAATCGAATGAATTATAATCAAATGACTGTTGTCGAATAAAAACTAAGTCATATAAGACCAGGGTTAAAAAGGAATCGTAAGCAATTCGAAGTTCTCGAAAAATGCAGAATCGAGAGTAAAGAAAGCCAATATGGACATCGAGACTTTGGCAAAATTGTGAAAGGAAGTAAGTCGAATGCACGTATAAAGAGCAGTTTTGAAAATCATGGGAAAAAGTCGGAGATCGTGAGAACGTGAGAAACTATAGAAGATAAACTGCCATACGCACGTAGAACGTGATAGCAGTCGCGTTAACTGCTCTCGGAAGGCTTGAAGGATGCCCTATAAATAGAGCAAAGGAGGAAGGAACGAGAGAGCAGAAATTGGCAGAGAACAGAATCAGTAGTGAAAAGTCTACCGGAGAAACGACGAACACCATGAAGCTTCTGGCAATCTGGATTTCCTTACTCACTGAGTACATTTACCGCTTTCTGTATTTTCCTTGGTAATTTACTTTGATGCAACTTAAATTCAGCAGTTTTATGTTTCTGTATTTCGATTCCTTGTCCATTTCAATTCAATGAAAATTTGAGTTTCTGCATCTAGATTTCCATGTTATTTAACATTCTGCAAATCTCAATTTCCTGTCATTTACTTTTCTTGCAATCTCGATTTCTTGTCATTTATATTTGCGTTGTTTTCGATTTCTTGCTATTTACAATTAATGCAAGTTTGGGGTTTTCGCACTTTACATTTCCTCGCAATTTAACATTCTGCTTTTTCGATTCGATAGTCTTAATGCTTTCGAGACT